ATGAAGACGTATGAATGTCTCGAACAGGTACTGTCATTTTTCGTCAAGTTTCCAGTTGTTGACACTTCAATAGCCCTTCACCCCAAAAAGCCCCGAATGACCCCCTCTTCCAGACGCTGAAAGCGCGTGAATCCAGGAAGCAGAAAATTGGCTAAAATCTAGGAACCCCCTCCCCCCCCCCCTCCTCACAAGGAGTGCCATTTGGTTGTCATCAGCAAATCCCTGCCCTAAGCAAGCCCACGGGTGCGCCCTCACCCAGCGTCGCCGATGGCGCAGCGGTTAACGCATCTGCCTACGAAGTTTCTTTTTGCCTTTGGTTGAAGGTTCGGTTCTTTTATGCGTGTTTCCTTTTGCGTTTTGAACCTTGATGATATTTCCACACCTTTTAAGCATTTCTGGGTCATGGTGGAGGCATTAGCAACGTTTCCACGTTGGGCTAGGAGAAGAAATCAGGGAATTTCTCTGGTCAAAATTTTATCTGGGACTGTGAAGGCCAATTTTAATTATTCTGATTCTTAAAACGCTCTGAAAGTCACAAAAGTGTTTTTACAAAACAAAAAGCAAAAGTAATTACCAATAATGGAATCGAACTAGCAACCCGAAGCAAAAAAAGGTTTGGACGACCGACGCTCTAGCCACTGCGCCACGCCCGGCGGTGGGAAGAAGGGACCGGAGGGCCTCTTCCCCTTGGGGCTGGCTCGGGGAAGCAACGTGCCGACGTGGACGCATAAATTCTCTTTTAGTTTTTTAATTTTATCAAATCAAAGAAAGGCATTCTGGAAAAATGGACGCCGAGAGGTTGTTCAGAATTGAATTCTCTATCGAATGAGCTAGGTCGCGAAGGGATTTGCCGATGACACTCAAAAGGCACTCCTTGTCAGCTGCAACCAGGCAGGCCCCTAGAAGGGGGGAGGGCGGGGGACCAGGGGGACCTGATTTTAAGACTTATTTCTTGCTGTTTTTAAGACAGTTTTTACCGCTTTTACTATTTTTACCGCCTATTCTTCCAAAAACTTTAGGGTTTAAAAGGCAGTCTGTGAGACACCCGAACAAGGCTTGGCACAGTTTTTTTCGACCCTATTTTTATGACGCCATCTGAAAGAGCGTGGCCGAATTAGTAGGGTGGCATAGTTTTGAAAGTTTTAAAAGTTAATTTTTGTGGTTTAAATGGGCGTTAAAGTTACCGACCTCGAAAAATTATCTCGAAAACTTCTGAACCAAATTCGTTGAAAATTTGTGACAATACCTAATTTGGCATGGGGATCATTTCTCTAATACATCGCAAAACCCAAAAATGACCGGAACATGGTTAAATTGCGTACTAAAAACAGTTTTTCGACACTTTCGAATTTTGGGACACCTCAGCGCAACTGCAAAATAGCATAGAAAGATGCGCCAAAAAATTCTGCGTCAAATGATGTATTGGTCGTGTTGCGCCCAGGTGTCCCAATTTTACTATAACGCGTTTTGTGTGCGGAAAATGCAACAAAAATGACCCCTAAAAATACAAAATTGTTAGTTTTGAACATACAAGACATGAATTTGCATTTAGTCGTCATGCTGAAGCCATTGCAAAAAAGAGCAAAAAGAAATTCGGTTTTTGAGAGGGGGCTGGGATTGAACTGGCGCCAGCTCTGGATTGGCACGCCGACGCTCTCCTCATTGCGCCACAGGGCTCCCAGGCACACGACCCGAGTTCGATTCCGCGACATCGAAATAAACCGAATTTCTTTTTGCTCTTTTTTGCAATGGCTTCAGCATGACGACTAAATGCAAATTCATGTCTTGTATGTTCAAAACTAACAATTTTGTATTTTTAGGGGTCATTTTTGTTGCATTTTCCGCACACAAAACGCGTTATAGTAAAATTGGGACACCTGGGCGCAACACGACCAATACATCATTTGACGCAGAATTTTTTGGCGCATCTTTCTATGCTATTTTGCAGTTGCGCTGAGGTGTCCCAAAATTCGAAAGTGTCGAAAAACTGTTTTTAGTACGCAATTAACCATGTTCCGGTCATTTTTGGGTTTTGCGATGTATTAGAGAAATGATCCCCATGCCAAATTAGGTATTGTCACAAATTTTCAACGAATTTGGTTCAGAAGTTTTCGAGATAATTTTTCGAGGTCGGCAACTTTAACGCCCATTTAAACCACAAAAATTAACTTTTAAAACTTTCAAAACTATGCCACCCTACTAATTCGGCCACGCTCTTTCAGATGGCGTCATAAAAATAGGGTCGAAAAAAACTGTGCCAAGCCATAACGGCAACAGTTCGAGTGACTGGCGGAGGGCCTTTTAAACCTCGTGGCACGCTGAGGCATGGCGGCTCAATATTTTCACATTTCAAAATCTGGCAAAAAAAAAATTCCTAGCAACTTTTGCCGTAAGGAAACAGCTTTTTGTTAGTAATCCGACCACGGCAAATATTTCGAGATATTTCACGCATTAATAGTTTCAATTCTGTCTGAAATTCAAGGTTCAATTCTGGCTGAAAAGTTTTTTGGGGGTGCCTAGCTTCCTACCCAGACAATTTTCAGCGGCACATCTATGGGAATTGGCTGTTCGGCCTTCACACAGGCGGCACCGCCACGACTCTTTGGACTGGGCCATACTGGGTGTTCAGGATTGGTTCACTTGTATGGACCGCTGACGCGTTGTCTCTCCGGTTGCCGCGGTTTTTGGTGAGGAATAGAGAGAGAGGGAGAGAGCGAGAGATAGCGAGACAGAGAGAGGGAGAGAGCGAGAGAGAGAGCTGCTATTTACAGGATGTCGTCGCCAACTTCCACTTCTTCGACTGGATGACACTCGTCTATCAAATATTCCTTTACACCATGCTGATTGGTGCGTTATTTTATATTTGTTCACACTATCTCTCTCACTCTCTCTTTCTCTATAACTCTCGCTCTGTCTCTCTGCTCTCGCTCTTTAACCTCTCCCCAATTACAGTCAACATGCCATCATGGCGCCGACCGGAGAATAAGCATTCCCGTCAAGGGGAATGCTGTCGACGACGTGTGACCAGAGACACGGTAGCCGCATGGAGACATCAAATGCTACAAACTACCACCATTTCAAGTTTAACATAAATACCCTGCGACAGCCAAAAAAAAACAATTTTCCGCTCAAAAATAAATCATTGTTTTATGGTATCATGATTATGCTTTTTGAAACGATACACTGGGGGTTTTTTCTCCATGCTGACATCCAGACGACAGACTACACAGGTTTTTTGAGGTTACAGACTATCGAAACTACCAGGCGCACGGCCCGGGTTCGACCCCCGGTCGGAAAATAGTCCTCTACACGATGCTGATTGGTACGCGATTTTATATTTGCTCTCATGATCTCTCTCACACTCTCTTTCTCTATAACTCTCGCTCTGTCTCCCTCTCGCTCTGTCTTTGTAGCTAGAAATTAGATGATTGAAAAAAGGAAATAATGACGCAAATATTTCTATATTTGTTAGTAAACAATGTTCACCCTTGTGCCAAGAATTCTGTCGATTGGAGGTACCGACACATTAAGTTCCGGTGCAAATGGTATTACCTAAAAATTTTATTAATTTTATTAATTTCAAAACCGAACCTCGGAAATTACTGAATTTTAAATAGTAAGCCTAAAATCGAAATATGTACTTCCTACTTGTGTTTTGACGGGTAGTGTTGCAAAAATTAACGCGGGTCGTTTTCTGGATAAAAATCTGGTTGCAAATTTTGATGTTTCATGTTCGTGGATATTAAGCGGCTGTTTGGTTCTCATTAATCATGACCGTACCAGAAAATCTATACCAAACATTAGATTCGGTTGTTTTCCGTATTAAAGGGCTGGAGAAAGATGGGCCGGCGTCCGTCGGGGTGACGGACCGCCGCGGCGCTACCATCGACGCTTTCCCTCGCGTAAGCGCCCCCACAACCCCCTCTCGCGTTTGAAGAAACCAGTTTATTGGCTATAACTTTTTCATTTAGCAATGCATTTTAAGCGTGGAAACTCCGGCAAACGATTTTAAAAATTTGCCGCTGCAATTTTTGTATTTCATCATCTCTCTATTTTTGTCTTAGTTTCAAATTTACCAACCAACCTGAAATTATTATGATTAATTCAAGATCTTACTGGCACATTTAGGTACAGTGTATGTGGAACGAGCTGGGAATTGAAGTTCGAAGAAAACTGTAGCCTCCTTAAATTTAGAAAACATTCTTTTAATAAAAAAAACTCGACAGATTTTAATTTTAATCGCAAGCTCGGAATAAAAACACCTTAATGCTCTATTTTCAACGGATAGCGGGCAAATTAATGCGAAGCATTTTATGGTCCAAGAACTGCTACAATTGCTATGTTCATGAGTGTGGAAGGTAAAAGTAGTAGTAGTAAAACAAAAATCCACGAATAATTTCATTAAATTATTTTCATATATCCCGCATTTTTCGGCTAATAAATTAATATTCAGTTTAACAACAAATAAATTAAACTAAGAAAATTCACCGAATTTTCTGGTAAATGCGGCTTCTCAGTCTTTATCTAATTCTCTGCAAAAAGGTGGAATTTACGTGTTTCAAAGCAGACTCTAGTTATCCAAATGTCTGCGCACTTTAATCAAAATGCGCAAGTGTAGGGACCAGAACACCTCCAATTAGCATATCGATTTCCCCTGCAAAAAATCGGAAGGGCATTCTGGAAAAACCAGACCCCCCCATTTTCCTCCCCGCCCTTTTTCTACTCGTCGGCCCGGCTGCTTTGCCGTTTCTCGGGCAATGAGGTAAATCATTATGCAAATTTTGGATGCTCTTAATTAAATTATGCAAATTTTTATCCAAATACTTAAACTATTACCAGTTGCCCTAGCAAATATACAAAAAAAGTTGGAAAATTAGGGTTTTTAACAAAAATAATTTTCAAAAACTGTGGAAGCTGAAAGGTTTTTGATAAAACATTTGATTTTTGGTGCTGAGTAATGAATGGTTTCCAGTTCGGGGGAAATCTACTGGCAGAACGAGATGCTGCCCCAGCAGCCAAATCAGCAGACACATGGTGATGTCTCCCGTCAGACGCTGCTCTCCACCCTGGATACCGTAGTCGACAGCCTCATCCACAGCCGTCAGGCCCTTCGACTTCCCCCGCATGCCCATCGCACCAGTCGTGTACAGGTATCGTAACGGAACATGGCTGTTGTGCCGTTGTTACTTGACTTGGCTTGAGTGCAGTTTACCCCCCCCCCCCCCACCCGACCCCCACCTACCCTATCTCGGCTCCCTGTTCATCTACAGATGTGTAAAGTATACCAAAATGTTCGTCTTGCTCTGGCGAGTATTTTGGTATACTTTACACACCTGTAGATGAACAGGGAACCGAGATACAAAAGTTGGGCGCCGGCTGGGGGGGGAAACTGCACCCTAATCCTTGACTTTTAGCAGGGGGAACTAATTTTTTCTGTACGATCAAATATATTTTAATAGCATTTTGTGTAGTTTTTAGCTATGACACGCGGATCTAAAATTATAGAAATTTTCGCGTTTTTCTCACCAAAAATGTGTGCAACATGGCCTAAAAATGCTAGGTTTTCGAATTAACAAACTGCCTTAAAAATTTTTGTAGCTTCTAGCAATTATTAATTACTAAAAACACTATAAAAATTCATTATGTATTATCCACACGTAGGTAAAGACGGAAAAACAAAAATTAGTTTTCCCCCTGCTAAAAATCCCGCTTAATAACGGTCCACTACCATCGTTCAAGTTTCAAAACCTTTTCAAAATTTTTCGACAATTGTCGAAAAATTTTGAAAACAAAACTTTGAAAGAAAAGGAAAAGAAAAAAAGAAGCTTTTATCTCGGTTTTCTAGCTGAAATTTCCAGGTGGAGATCGACGGACACGAGCGTATCCTCGACGAGCACATCCACTTCACGCAGCTCCCATCTGAAGCGCCCGATGACAATCATTTCCATATTCTTCGCCATATGCGAACCACCAAGCACGTCACCTCACGCTCAACCACCACCACTACACGGTAATATAATCAGAGCAAAACAAAAAAAATGAAAAAAGGTGTTTCTTGAAAACTCCTTTGTAATTCGAACAGCGGTACTATAGTAAGCTCAGAGTTGCGGTTAAAATTAATCAGAGAATTTTTTTGTGAATAATACCTTGAAGATATTCCTAGTTTTACGACAAAAAAAATACAAATCAAGAACAAGCTCGAAGACCTTTCCAAAAAAGCAGAAATAAATTTCACAAAAACACGTGTTTCATAAAAAATCCTTGAGTAGCTTGTGGCGTCCGCGATATTGCGAGATTGTTCCGAGGGGGCCATATTGACATCGAGTTTGCTAAAATTTTTGATTCTGCAGATCTGCAAGGAGGTGTTAATTTTCAGCAACCACGAGGAATGCCTAGCAATTGCCTAAAACTTGTAATTAACGGTCTGACAGGCTTTTCCTAGAAAAATGGTGTTTTGAGAAAAACTCGAGTCTCGTCGATTGAATTGTGCCTAATAATGCCATGACCGTCAATCGTTGCTTCTTGCTTCTAAAACCACTATGGGACAAGGAAGATATTTATAATGCCAAATATTATTGTGGCATAGATATTTACAAATGCATAAAGAAAAATGTTCTAAACGTCAACTTCTGTAAAATCCAAAACAACCGAAGGATAAACAGCCAAAATATTGTCTGGTTGTAAAACGTGTTTTGTTTTCCAGCACGCACCACAACAATGACGGCCGGAAGTCGGTGGCCCCGCCCCAGCAGCAGCAACATCAGCAACAGGGTCAGCCGCCCCAGGCTACGAACGCTCCAAACGACGCGAGGAATGCTGTGCGACGCGGCTCGCCGGCCCCCATCCACAAATTGCCGCAACACGCCGTCGCCAAGAAGGCCAGGTAAGTAGAATTTCAATTTTAAAGAAACTAGGAAGCCAGGGCTATGGATTTTGCTGGATACGGATTTTTTTATACGGAACTTCGGCAGTTTTTAGCTCCGTCCTCCATAATTTTTGCCTTCACCACCTCTTTAAAATGGCTAGACACCGGAAGGAACCCGATTTTTGCAGCGCAACCGCGGTCGCGTCGCGTTCTCGTTCGAGCCGCTCCGAGTCGGGCATCCGCGAGGCCGTCCAGAAGGCCCAGAAGGCTCGCGAGCAGCTCGAGGCCCAGACGAGCCAGACGCGCCAGGCGCGCTCGCGCGAGTGGACCCGCATGCAGGTGTGTATGTTAGGAAAGTTATAAAAATATTTTTTAATTATTATTATTATTTTTATATGCGTTTTATACCTAAAAAGGTAAGAGTTTACTTTACCCCCCCACAGCCGAAGGGTCTCAAAGTTTTCGGTATTTTCGCTTATTTTGTCGGGATTTTTGCAACGCCATTCGATAGAGCGTCGAAAAATATACTAAGAGTTTTAATTTGAGCCTACAATAATGTAAAATAAAAAAGTTATAGCTAAAAACTTCCGGCTGGGGGGGGGGGGTAAAGTAAACCGTAGCCCCTAAAAACTTTGTAAAATACTATAAAAATGGTTTAGATTTTGTTAGCGGTAGAGAATCACGGGGAAGAATTTGGTCCCACCCCCGCTAAAAATTTCCACCCCGCTAACGTCCCAGAACCGAAAAAAACGCTAAAAAGACCCCTCGAAATTCAGAAGGCCGATTCGCGGCGTAGCACGTCGGAGCACCAGCGTCTGCTGCTCACCCACGCCGATCAGCAGCGTCTCCTCGAGATGATCAAGGTATTTGATGGGTTTTTTGTTTCGGAATTTCCCCAATTAATTCCTTCTTTTTATGAATTGATGAAACATTTTGTTGACGCGCCAGCTTGATTAGATGGCGAACAAGGACAGCCAGCCGACCGTCGACCGCCGAACGTCGAGCCCGGCCCCGTCGCGATCCCCCTACCACCTCCAGCCGACCGTCGGCCAGTTCTACCAGGTTAGATCTAATTTTTTTCCAAAACAATGGTTGCATTGATTTCGAGACCGAATTTTGTAATCAATTTGTACCAATCTTCAGCATAATATTAGGCCTACGCCAGTACAAAGAAGATTAATTTTTTAAAAGATTACGCTAATCAATCAAAATTCTTTTGGTAGGTTTATAGTTTTTTGTTAATTTTTAGTGTTTGAAAAGGCGCACATTTCTCGATCAAAAAAAGTATTTTGGTATTGTAATTTAAAAGTTTAGAAACATCCAATTTTTCTGCGCGAAAAGTGAAAGCTTAACGAAACTTGGCATAAAAAACGTGAAATCTCCAATTTTCGAGTTTTGCCACATCCCCCCGATTCGGCTAAAAAAAAGCTGTTTCAAATATCGCAGACATTAGAAAAATAGTTTACTGACAACTTACTTAGTTGTTTCAGAATGCGATCGCGCCGTACTACCAGCGCCCCGCGGCTGCAGCTGCCGCGACGTCGACCGTCCCTCCCGCGATGGCCCCATCCCTTTCCGGTGGTCCGTCCCGATTTGAGCGTGGACCGCATGCTGATGAGTGTCACGCCAAGCAGATTCCCGTGTATGTAGTTTAGTGTATCGCGTAGTTTTTTTTGGCTCTGGTTCGTTAGCGGGGGGGGGGGAGCCACGCCCACTTCCTTTCTCTTTGCCAATAGGCCGCTTGGAGGTCTATTAATGTTCCCCCCCCCGCTAACGAACGAGAACCGCTTTTGGAATCTGCTGCGTACAAAAAAAAATCAGAATTTAGAGTTTCTTTACAGCCAGCCGGACCCGTCGTGCTTCTGCGGTGGACCGAATCGTCCATCGCCCGGTGCCGATATGCCAAATTGGGAGACGGAAAAGGGAAGGGCCAAGGCTCGGGATGCTCGAGTCCCTCGTCAGGTATTCGAAAACCCGATTGCTCTCGCCTCCACGTTCAAAAAAAAAATACAATTTTTCCATTATTTTCAGTTCCTTAAGATCCATTTCTGATGAAAGTTCAAAATTCTTTTTATCAATTTTAGTACGATCGCCATGGGGCTGTCACCGCGTGGAACCGCTACTACGAGGTGAGGCTGCTAGGAAAAGCGGGAATGTGGTTTGATTGTCCAATCTTGGTCTAATTTGCACTGTCTTTGCTTTTTGCTTTGATTAAAAAATGTTTCAACAAATTTTATTCAGCAGTAATGCGTAGAGCGGACAGTATTAGAGTTGGTTGTAGCATCATAAATCTTCAATTTCGTGCGCTCCACAGATGTTGCGATCAAATGTTTGATACCAAAAATATCAGGTTGAAAAGAAAGTAATGGCACAAAATCTTTAAACCGCTGTAAAAATCCGCAGGAAAGTCCGATTTGAAAGTATGATATATGGTTTGGTAGATCTTCGGATGCTCTATCACGAGACGACCCTCAAAACACCCAAAAACTAATGTACGCGAAAATAAAGGCCTCAGAAGTTTCGCAGAAAATTCGGTGAAAGCTTCCAATCGAGATATCTTTGCATACAGGCATTTGCATGCGATACTTTTAACACCAATCGATTATACATGGGTCGACGCTTGCATGCGCCGCATAAGCGTGGCCGGCCACGCTCTTCCGGAGCGTGGATAGCCACGCTGGCGCGCGTGCCTCTTAATAAATCACGCCGAAATGAGCGTGGCCCGCCACGCTCCGGAAACGCTTATGCAAAGTTTCTAAAAATGCAAAATCAAATTTTTCCAAGGGACATGAAAGCAAAAATCGATCCGTTTGGGAGAATCTAACTAACAGGAAGTTGGATCACGATCTATCTTGTTTATTTTCAAATTTTAAAGATGACCCTGCTAGTTATGTATCGGCAATTCATTTTTGGCGAATCGAAATCATAAATCATAAATTTTTGATTTGCATCTGAAGTTAAAGCGCGCGCGTGAAAAAACACGCATAAAGCGCCGCATAAGCGTTGTCCTCCACGCTCCGGAAGAGCGTGGCCAGCCACGCTTATGCGGCGCATGCAAGCGTCGACCCATGTATACCAATCGATAGCCCTCGAGGAGTAGATATCGATAAATGTTGAGATCATCAAAATCGGACACTGGATGGCCGAGGTATAGGCCCCCTAGAAATTTGGTCCACTTCTTAGAACTTTTCTTGAAATCCCATACATTTAGGCCGGCGCGAGCCAAAAACTACTGCGTTTGCTTCAGCTCCCGAACCAAAGGCCAGAAAATGCATTGATTTTGGAAGGCTCATGTCTCGGCCATCCAGTGTCCGATTTTGATGATCTCAACATCTATCGATATCTACTCTTCGAGGGCTATCGATTGGTGTTAAAAGTATCGTATGCCAATGCCTGTATGCAGAGATATCACGCTTGGAAGCTTTCAAATAATTTTCTGCGAAACTTCTGAGGCCTGTATCTTCGCGTCCGTCAGTTTTTGGGCGTTTTGGGGGTCGTCTCGTGATAGAGCATCCGAAGATCTACCAAGCTATATAACAAATTTTCGAATCAGACGTTCCTGCGGATTTTTACAGCGGTTTAAAGATTTTGTGCCATTACTTTCTTTCCAACCTGATAGATGGATCGTTAAGGTCACTGAGTAGGTGGTCGAGATATTCACCCGCGCCCACTTTAAATTTTCCAGCGCCCCCGCCCCGGCGGCTACGCGCGCGATGGTGGTGGCGCGATGGCGGCCGTCCAGCTGCCCCCTCAGCAGCCGCCCGTCAACCCAAGCGACAATCTCTTCTATGGGGCTGTCGAAGTCGGTTTATAATTAATGAATTCTTAGAGATCCGCGAATTGCGGTTTCATAAAGCTCCGAAACCGGCGTGGTTCCGAAAACATTTTTTTCATCACGAAAATGTTACTATTTTTTTAAGGCACTGGCATGGATATTCAATTTTGAAGCGTGTGGTTCCTTCCTTTCCATTGCGTAATCGTTTACGATCCTACCACCTACGCGCGCGACGGGCGTGCTTGGCACAAAATCCCTACGATTCCAGACCAATGATCTTCCATTGAATTATTGCAGACAATATACGGAGAAATCAGTAAATCTTAGTCTCGCGCCAATTTGGGAAAATGATGGAACATCGAACTGTTGTTGCATCTTTTCGATCATTAATGCTTTTTAACCATTTTGGTGGTTTTTACCACGCGTCGTTTCATGAATTATATATGGCAATGAAGAAATTAACAAATTATGCCCGATTCGCATAAGTTGTGGAAATGATGGAAAATTGTAATTTTAAGGAATCTAGAAATTTATTGAATGTTTCGACGATTTGTTTTCGGATTAGGGGCGGTAACTTTTAATGGGGTTTTAGCAGCCATTTCGTCCCTCAATCATTCTCTTCTCGAGCAACAGCTCAGTAGTTTTTGCTGGATTCGCGCGATTTGAAGAAATGATGGAACATCTAACTTTATCGCTGTTTTTCTTCTATTTTTGGCTTTTTTTAACCATGCATGCTTTTTAGCTTTTAGCTTCTTCCAATTACGCGCGTGTTTTTAAGGGGTTTCCCACCCATTTTTTTACAGGTGGAGGCGAACGTGGCGATCGCCGTGAAGAACCTGCTGAAGGCGCGCACCTGCATGCGGAACGTTCACTTTGCCGTCGGCTCGCTGTTCCCCGCCTCGGCCACGTATACGGTACGCGTGGCCACTCCCAATTTTTTTTGGATTGACTAAAGGTGTCCAATTGGCTTTAAAAATGTAAAACCCTTGGGCTTTATCGGTGCAACATTAATTTTTTTTCCTATAGGACGACATTGGGAAAATGCAGCAGCAGCTGAAGGCGTTCAACACCCAGTTCCGCTACCTTAACACCAAGGTCAACGAGGTCGGCGGTTTTTTCTGGATTTTTCTGTCTGTTTCTCTCCTATTCTCTAACGCTCTCGCGCACTCGCTCTATCTGTCTCTCTCTGTCTCTTTCTCGCGCGCGCTCTCTCTCTCGGTCTCTCTCACTCGCTCTTCTCTCTCTCTCTCTCTCTCTCTCTCTCTCTCTCTCTCTCTCGCTGTCTCTCTGTCTCTCTCTGTCTCTTTCTCGCGCGCGCTCTCTCTCGGTCTCTCTCACTCTCTCTTCTCTCTCTCTCTCTCTCTCTCTCTCTCTCTCTCTCTCTCTCTCTCTCTCTCTCTGTCTCTCTCTGTCTCTCTCTGTCTCTCTCTGTCTCTCTCTGTCTCTCTCTGTCTCTCTCTGTCTCTTTCTCGCGCGCGCTCTCTCTCGGTCTCTCTCACTCTCTCTTCTCTCTCTCACTCTCTCTTCGCTCTTCACTATCTCTCTCTCTCTCTCTCTCTCTCTCTCTCTCTCTCTCTCTCTCTCTCTCTTTCTCTCTCCTCTATCTCCTCTCTCTCTCGCTTCAAAAACCTCTCTTTCTAGAAGCTCTCGGCTGGCCCTCGTCAAGCTGCCGCCCGTGCCGCTGGTGGTCCGCCGTCAGCCTTCGAAAAGCCGCCGAACCAGATGCACAACCGCCAGCCGTCGTGCGAGTATAACAATTAGGTAGCGTAGAGGATTCGTGAAGTAATTAAACACACGACAAATTTTAATGAAAAAATGCAGAAAATGATTTTTCGTTGAAAATGACAGATTGTAAAAATACAACATTTTTAAAAACCGTTGCAATTCTGTTGTTTGCAAAAAATTGCTTTACCGCTTCGAAACGAGACGATTGAAATAAGTTAATTATATGAGCGATTTTTACAACGATTTTTCGACAAGAAATGCCAATTTTCGCGCAAACTTTAACGATTAAAAAGTTTGTAATTTTTTGTCTTAGCAAATTTTACTAAAACGCTCTTAAATTGTTTACTGAAAGGATGGAAGAACACAATAAATCTTGCGACCGAATGTTCAGGTTTAACATATCTGAATAACTTAATTTTAATAATTTTTGCAGACCTTCCCGTTGTCGTCCCGCTACTTGAACCCGCTGGCCATCACCCAATCAATGGATCTCTTCCCGCCCCTTCTTGATCATCTCCTCCTCCGAGTTGCACCGAACCCCGAAAAAATGGCCCTCTTAACACATTATATCTGCTGTTGACGATGAATTAATAAACGGTTGCTTGGTGTGTTTTGTACTATTTATGGACGTGCATTTTCTCTCTTTTCTCTCTCTCACTCTCTCTCTCTCGCTCTCCCTCGCTCTCTCGCTCTCACTCTCTCTCTCTCTCTCTCTCTCTCTCTCTCTCTCGGAAAGTCGATCTCCTACAATACAGTTTGCCGATTATTATCCATTACAATCGCATCGTTTCGCTAATTTTTTGTGAAACATCCCAATTGGTCACAAGTACAAAGTGTCGCAATCAAAAAGACAACAATCCCTCTAACTCGACGCAGTCGTATCGGATCGGAATGATAATTACACCATTCGAAAGCCCTTCAAACGGCGAGTTTGCGATAATCGATCTCGCAAACGTTTTGCGATCTCGTTTTGTGGATCTACGCTTGGCTGCTGTGGAATAATGAAATCCAAGCAATATTACAAAATTCTAAGTCTATAAACCCCGTTAAAAATAATGTTTTGTGGAATTAAGGGGAGAAACCGTTCCAAAATTATGTATTAAAATGTAATTGTCTTCTCACAAATATACCAGGATAACTGTTTCAACAATTTTTTGAGCTTTGATCGAAATGCTACAACTATTAAGAGAACAAAATCACAAAAGCGTCGAAAACCGTCTTGTGAATTTTTCATGAAACTCTCGTTCTCAAATTTTAAGAGGCTAATGAATAATGATGGGGTCGTCCTTATCTAAAAATCATTTTCCGCCCTCGAATAGGCAGCATTGTGAAACATGCTTTTTAATACGTCTATAGGCCTTCGAAATGTTCGGAAATGCAATCTGGCTCGGGCTAGCTAGCAGCGAGCTTTTCGGGAACTTCAGCCTAGCTTGTTTGTGGTCATGTCTTCGAGCAACACACTCACTCCTCATGCTCAATGGCATCCCCTCCTGTTCTTCTCTCTCTCCCTCTCTCTCTCTCTCTCTCTCTCTCTCTCTCTCTCTCTCCTTCTCTCTCTCTCTCTCTCCATCTCTCGCTCCCCTCTGGCGGCCACTGCGACAATGAGGAAGATGGCCCCAAGGCATCGATTTGAAAGGCAAGAGACTGCGGGAGATGGAGAGGCCTAGGGAGTCGGAGCAAGAGAATAGGGAGCACGAGGGTCCGAGGCCTTTTTCTCCCCTTCTTTTAGGTGCATCGTTTAGGGGCCCCTCTCCCTCTGACTGGGCCCTTAGCCTTGGGGCCCACCTGGGCCCCAACCCGGCCCTCTATCACTACCAGCATAACGTACCGGGTTTTGTTTTGAACTATGTTTTTATTTGGTCTCTATTTTAGCTAGTATTTATGTTTTTTTCCGAGGCAGCCTTGAGCTTATTAGTTTGCACACTTCATTTAGGCTATTGTGCGGTCTTGAAACCTATTTTTTAACCTTAACAACCGGACACTTAAATCGGCAGTTCCGTCGATCTCACGCTTTTTCTCTCTCTGCCTCTCCCTCGCTCTCTCTCTCTCCCTCGCTCTCTATCTCTCTCCCTCTCTCTCTTGCTTTTATATCCATTCTTGAATGTTTATTTTTTTCCTACTTTTTAGTGGAAACCGTTTGTCATGGAAAAACTGGACCGCCCGCATTTTTCATGTGATTGCTAAAAACTGAAACATTTTTCTTCAAGGATAGTCCGATGAAATGTCTATTTTCCTGCTTTTGCTCTATCTCTCTCTCCCTCCCCTCGCTGTCTCTCATTTTTTAATGCTTTGAGGCTGGATTCCTGGGGTTTTGATGCAAAAATCTAGAATTCGATATTGGAGATATTGCATTCCTCCAGAACTTGCTTTCTTTTGAAGCCCAATCCTTGATCGTCAACACCCAGCATAATCCTGATTTGACAGAATTCCGCCAGAATCTCTGCTACCTTACCGTCTGACTGGAATTTCAAACGTTTTGGCAATTTTGAAGCTTTCGTTTTTAGGATTTTCACATACCATCTTAGTACCACACCAGGGTTGAAAAGCCGCTTCGCGACTTTTCAACCCTGGCCCCGTTTTGGACCGCGTGCTGTTCTACGCTTTGCATAATTGCGCTGGATTCAGATGACCAAAAAAATGAAAATGATTAGCTTCTGACCCTTTATATAGGCGACTTCCTACTTCCGGTCAATGCTAATTTTTCCTAGCGAAGAGGGTTTTACAAAACTTTAAATTTAATATCGAAAATGGCTGATTTTTATAAATCTGATATTTGGGCAGTCATCCCTAGACCATTACGCACATAATGACGTATCGTACCCACCCCTAACTTCTTCCCCTATAGAGATACGACTGGAACAACGATACGGAAGTGGATGCAAAGTGGCACACACACACACACAGACACTATTTTTTTATATATAGTAGGATCTGCCCCAACTAGCCACCCAAATTCCAAATTCGCTAAAAACCCCCAGAAAAACTATCGAAAATGCATTCTGGTGGCGTTTTTCTCTCGGCTGCTCCTTCCCCTAAAAGCCCTCGAAAAAACAGAGCCCGAATACGGGTATATTGGCCCATATATCCGGGCCATTCTCATTCCGCTCCGATCCCTTGGACGTCATGCCGTAGCCCCGCGGAATCTCTCATTTGCCCCCTAGGAGGGCACACACAGGATGGGCCCCGATATTAGGTTTGTCCCCTCGAGCCTCTAGGCTCTAGGAATCCACCGAATTCCATAGCATTCCACCGTACGCCTCTTTACGGAGGGCTGTCCATCGGAGTCGAATGGAATTTTGGTACTGCACATTTAGCGGAGTAACAAAATCATTTCCACTAATCCCGTGCGGCGCTACGGCAAAGTATAAATTATTTTAGGGCATTTTAAACGATTTTTTGTTATAAAAGTTCATAAAAAAATAAAATTTTCGAAAATTCTTGACTTGTTGGTCAAAATTTATGAAGAATGGCCTACAACGGGCCAAATTTACGAATTTGGAAAATTTTTAGCAGATTTTTTACAACTTTATAGCAATAAGAACTACGAAAAACGCTATAAAAATAGAGCCCTTATTAGCGGTAGGATTTGGAAAAAAAAAAAGCTTCCCGGCGGTAAATTAAAGCGATTTTTCAAATTCGAATCACGACGCGCACGTGACGCGTCTAATTTTGCTGTCAGCCCCAAAGCCGATTTTTAGGGTTCTAGCAAACCACCGAGTTCCAAAAACTGAGCTACGCAATAGTGAAGGATGGACTGCATGAAAAGCACCGTACGCGCTCGATTGTATTGATGAAATATTTGGTTGAAAAAATTTGAGCCGAAGTCCAGTCAGGTTTTTACATTAATTTTAAAATGATTATAGTGTAGGTACATGAATAATGGCTTTTTTTAAGTTAAAATCATTATAGAGCTGCATCAATTATCTTTACCTTGTCTGATACCAAGGCATTCCACCGTCTCTTTTCCCAGGGTTGTCCATTGGTAGCAAAGGGAATTTTGGGTTTTAAGGCTTTTTCAGCCGACGATTTTTTTTACTTTACCAACCACCCAATTTTATTTGCCCAAAGCGACCTTCGGAAATTGTTGAAGCAGCAATGCAGCGGACCGGGAATGCTGGCGAAACATTTTTTGCAGAAATTTCCCTTTAGTTTTGTGCGAAATTTGGCGCACAACCCTTTAATAATTGACACTTTAAAATTATTGAATGGACTCTCTTTAAAAGATATTTTGCAAGTGACCACGCTCGTTACTAAGCCCCATGTACACTCGATATGTCGCATCTACCGTATTTCCATTGGGGTTCTCGATAGTTTTAGTTTCCTAGAGTGATTACATTCTTTTACCTACCCACAATCAAATGACATAAAATGGCGTCTTTTGATAATTCACGTTTTCCTATTTGTAAGAAAATGTTTTACTGTTTCAGGCTGACAATGACGGAGCTTTTAGGCCAATGGTTTTGTCTCCCGTAACGCTTACTCCTGAAAAATCGTAACACTAGCCTCCACACCTCTGCCAAATTTTCCCGAGGACCCCCCGGAATTTCCCTTCCGCCTGGCCACACGTAAACAATTAAGCGCGCTTTTTGGGATGGAATTTCGCCTGGCACCTCCTTAAATTTTCTATTTGCGAAGCTCCCGCGGGATTTTGGCTAGTTTTTGTTACGGGCGATTTTTGAGATATCCAGGACGTATCAGAGCTTTCTGCGGAATTTTAATTATTTTGTAGCTTAACGGAATGTTAGCTTCACAGTTACGGTAATCTAGAGGACGCGTATTGTTTATTTTGACTGATTTTTAGTGGTATCGATATATCCATAGTCATCGATGAATGAATTAAGATTTGTGGCGATCTTGGCAAACCTTTGAAACATAAAGATTCGTGCAGGAACCGACTAATACAAAATTCAAAAATTTGTTTTCATGAATCTATGCAACATTTGTTTTTATCGTCATCTATATACCTTTGTCGGCCGAACGAGGAGACTGGGTCTGTACGGTTCAAATAAGCCTCTAACATTTTCAAAACAGTTTTTAACATTTTTTTCATAATTTGCGATTTTTGAATGCGCTTTGTGAAGATTTTGAACATCGCTTGAAACAGAAATTTAGACAGCGTCTATGACCTAGTGCAGTACAAGAGAATTGGGCTACAGGATTGACATGAGCCTCTGGAATCTACGAAACATTTTTTAAAGAGCCGTTTGGGCAATAGAATAACCCATAAAAAATCGTTCGAGAAACGTATCCAGTTTCAGGGATAAACAAAATATTTAGCAGACTGTGAATACCGAAAAACGCCATTTTTTTATTTAGGTGTTTCATGCTTTCATGTAGAAATGTAGAAATTAGCAATGCGTGCAGCAAAAAGCTTATAAGCTAAAACTATACACATTCCAGAAAAATCAAAAAGAAAAGGCCAGGCGTATTTTAAAGAACTTTAAGGTCTGACGATAAT